TTGTGATAATTTGTTAGAGCAATAGTGGAAAACCAACATACATCTGTTTCTTTCTCAGCCCCATGACCCAGATGACCATTAGACTCTACTTCAATCAAAAGCTCTCTTGTCATTTAACCACCTGCTTTCTAACATGTTTTTATAACTAAGCTAACAACAATAAAAGAACTCATCTCTACCATATACTCTTAGATATAAAAATTTCAAAAGTGCATAAAACCCTTCCAGCTTTAGCCATGAACTTATCCCAAATCAAAATCTCAAAATCCTTAAAGTCATGTAAATGTACTTTATTCAAAGAAATACAACTTGAGCCTTCACTCAAAGGCACTATCTAATTGATTTTATATACAGCCCTAACATATTTCCATCACAACAAATGAAAACCAAAAAATGTTGCCATGATAGTTGGAAGCAAACTATTTGAGCTGTTCCTACTCCCTACACAAATCCTCAGAGCTAACACATAATGAACCTTGTTCACCAGGGCAAAAGAGATTTGGATCCAAAGTCAAGCTAATAGTACAAATATTATTTGCCCAGAGCATTCATTCTGTTCTAATGATTTTATTACAGTAAAATATTTCCCCCAAACACGGTATATCCAGCAGATAAAATAATATTATCCCTCTGAATCTAACTCTCAACTTGGAGGAAATACAGATAAAAAAGAAAAATACTTTAAGAAACATAAGAATGATACAATCAACAAAATTTAGATGGGGAAAATACAAAATAAATGACCTGGTTCCATCAGAACACACACACTCAGAAAAAGAGCAACAGAGAGAAAATGGAGGGTAGATCAAAAGAGAATACAGTCTGGATATCTGAAAATACTGACAAATTATTATTAATTATTTTGGGATAAATCAAGTTCATGTTTTAGAGTTCTTATTTTGTAGAAACGCACACTGAAGTACTTACAGACAAAATAATATGCTACAATTAACTTCCAAAAAAATCCAGGGAAGGGTAGATGTCAGGGTTATAGATAAAATGAGATTAGCTATAACTTGGTCATTCAAACTGAATAGCAGACAAGGAGTTGGTTTACGATTCTATTTTTGTACATGCTTCAGATTTTCCATAAAGACTTTTTTAAGTCCATTTTTTAGGAAAAACTCCTGTGAATAAGTAGGGACATAAGAAGTAAGTTGGGTATCTAGAGTGTAGAATTTAATCACAATGATTTTTCGATCATAAATTGTGACTCATAAAATATACCTTTAAAAACTAGTAGTCTTAAAATTATAATAAAAGTAACATCACAGAGAATTCAACACATTCCCAAAGGCCAAACAGTTCACTGATAACAAATAATTCCCCCTATCAATATACAAAGCATATCTTTATATTAACAACATATATGATATAGTAAATATATTAATATATTTATAATATAAAATTTCCATATTAATTATATTTGTTAATATATGTATGAAATTTTAAGTCACCTTAATATAGCAGGAGCTACAGAACTATGAATCCAGATTTCTTATCTCCTGGTTTTGATACTAGAAGATACTTCCTTTCTATGAATTCTGTTAAAATCATGACCATGAATTTAGTAGAATTGGTTACAGTGGGGTAAAGGAGCTGAGGATGAAAGCGATTCAACATCCACTTCCAACCTTTCTCTCATTCATGCCAGACTGAAAAGTAAGTGGGATAAGAAACAGAATGATGAAACAAATCATATGTTGATCCCACCAGATGGTAGGGCAGCTTTGGGACACTGGTACTCCAGGTGTAAGAACGCATATGTGCTCACACATGCAAGCAGGACTGGGGCTCATAGGATTTTAAAGGGGAGGAAACTGAGATGACTTCACCAAGCATATTCACAAAACAGGTAACTGGCAGCTGCAGTATGTAAGGCAATGTGCACGGTGTTGAGTGTCCAGAGACAAACATGTATGCTCTCCACATTCAAAAGCTCACTCTCCCTTAGAGGGCAAATGAAACGGAAGAGCAGCTGGGAGGATGGAAATAAGTGGTACAAAAGATGACAGCCCAACCTGAAGATGATAAGCCAATGTACGGTTATCTTCAGTTATTCATGCCAAGGATTATCAACCCAAATTCGACACGTTGATTTGTTCCATTCATTTATTGTCGTATTTATAGAGATACAAATGAAGAGAGAGAGAGAGATGCCATATTCTTTGGTGAACTATCAATACCTTAAAGATGTCATTTCTTTTTAAATTAATTTATAAATTGAATACAATTTCACATAAAATCCTGGCAGAATTTTTTATAGAACTGAGTAAACTAATTTAACAGAACTTAGGCAAACACAAAATTCCCAGCAGAGAGGAGAGTTCTAAGAAAAACCAACTCAATTCACACTGATCAATCTTTCCTTAAATGAGCTGAGCTTTGTACATCTTGACCTATAAATATTTTCCTACTCTAATGCCTTTAAGACATCCTCTTTCTAATTTGACTGTGTCAGAATTTAAAATGTCTATCCATAAAATGAAAAGACAAATTGTCCACTGGGATAAATTATTTACAACACATAAAATAAACAAAGTATT